CCCTAAATACTAAACAAACCCTAAACCCTAAACCCTTAAATAAACCCTAAACCCTGAACCCTAAAGAAGCCCTAAACCCGCAGCCGTAACTCAGACTTTGGGCTTCAGGTTTAGGGTTGAGGGCAGCAGGACAGGAAGTTGGAGAAGCCGATGTAGGGCAAGTAATCTGGGCTCTTGTTAGCGGATTTAATTATTAAGTTACCATAATAAAGAAACCATATTAATTTACGATAGATCCCCAGTATATGGTAACATAAATAAAACTCCTTACCATAATGAGAATAGGGTTGCTTTTTCGGTTCCCTTCCCCAGAGGTCTATGAGGGCTCCTCTGAGAAGGTTCCCCAGGCCTTGGGACCCTATACTACTAAAGGCTCTTTATGGGAACCCTCCTTAAGGGATCTACTTTCCAGATCCTCCCGGGGGTCGGGGTCTATGATAGCTAGAATAGGGTTCCTTTCAGGATTCCTTGTGAAAGGGGTCTCCTTGGGTTACTCTGAGAAGGATTCCATACGGTTGATGGTGTAAATCCTGCATTACCCATAATAAGGAATATACCATAATTCCCATAGTCTAGGGCCCTTAAGGTACTGAAGGGTTTTGCCATCAACAGTAGGACCATGATATTGGGGTCACTGATAGTTTTCTTTAGAAATGACTATACGGAGATAATACTAATACTATTTAGGATTCTGTATTCGGGCCAGAGGTTTAGGAACAAGTGGGAGGCTTTTGTTTGCAAGTTTAGGGTTGAGGGTTTCCAGGCATCTGAGTTGACCAAACAAAGCCCGACGGCCCAAACCCGAATTAAAGCTATGAAGCAAGTCCTGGATGGAGGCATATGTGCCGTTGACATCTGAATACATACGGTAGGACCCTCTGCTGCCCGTTCAAACAGAATAATAACCCCTCAAACGGCAACCTCAACGAGCACCGGAAAGAACCGAGTACAACCACGGATTAAACGGTTCTCGCATGCCTTAACATCCGAGGAACGACCTGTTCCTTGAGAAGCTTGACAAAGGCAGGGGGGAAGGACGGATCCTCCAATACATGGGATAAGGTCCCTTTACACCGTTTAAGAGAGCCAGAAGTGGGGGAAGAAGGGTCCCCTTTTGGCGGGTCTCCTTAGTACTACCTAGGAAGAGGGAAGGTTTGTTTGTGACTTAGACGACTTCCCTCAACTGCAGAAAAATGGCCCTCCTAGGAACGGCAAAAGTGTCCGCTTGCTTGAGTTCTTGGATGTTGACGCTTCTTCGTCCTTGTGGCGCAGAAAGTAGGGCATGTAGGCTTCTGACAATAGCACATGAAACCTGTATGTGTTTCGTGTCCCCGCCCTCCCCCCAAAACGTCCTTGAGACAAGCTTGGAGGACCCTATCTCGTAAGTCCAGCATGGATTGAGGAGCATCGAAGGTGGCCACTACCACCTTAGTTGTCCAGTACCCTACAGGAACTAAAGCCTAACCTTTGGTATTATACAGGGTTCATAATACCCCAAACTGGGTTCTTGTTAGGGGATTTAATTTGAGTTACCATAGCAGAGATCTATGGTAAATAATGTTATGGTAACTTAAATTAAATCCCTTAACAAAGAAACACAAAAAAAAGTTAAATTACTACCAGCTCTACTGCCAGGCCACGTTCATCTTCCCGAAGATTTCAAAGCCTTTGAAGGCCATAGGAGCAGACAAACCCTCGTCCAGCAACTCGCTGCAAAGCCTCTCTGGTTCTTAGTAGGGAAGGGAGGTTTGGGGTTTAGGGTTTAGGGGTTTAGGGTTTAGGGGTTGAGGGTTTAGGGGGGAATGGAGGAATGGGTTATTGGGACTACTATACGGGACCTTAAGGGGCTGTCATAGGGATCCATTCCCCCATTCCCTACAAAGAACCAGAGAGAAGCCTCTCATGCAAAGTCTCCAACGCCGGTGCCGGCAGCTTCCCAGCATGTTCACCGAAGAACAGGAACCTTGGAATAAGGCTAGGGTTTAGGGTCTAGGGTTTATATGGTTTAGGGTTTAGGGTTGAGGGTTTAGAGTTCGCTACGCTCGAGAGGAAACAGGGTTCGAGACTTACAGAGTTCGAGGCTCCCTTCGATGTCTTCAAGCTTTCTACACTGTACAGGGCTTCAGAAGCTTCGGCTGAAACTTGGAGTGCCAAGGGGGGCCTTTCTCAGCAGAGGGTTTTCTAAGAAATCGGGGGGGGAGTTTCTCTACAGTTTCGTATGGCTGCTGCCTCAAGGACTTCGCATCAACCTTTTCACGGCTTCGCAACACCACAATGCGGCCTCCCAATGCTTCGGGCTTAGGAATGAAGGGTCCAGGGGTTCTGGGCGTGGTTTGCGGGGAACCTCGGGGAACAAAACAGTGCTGCGTATTAGGATAGCATTTTTCTGTATTTTTCGTATTACTTGTTATTATTAAAGAAATTAAGCGGCTACGTGAATTGTGCCCTGTAATTTGGCCTAGCAAGTGGTTGAATGGAGAACCTCCGGTAAATAGAACCCTGAACAACCTTCAACATCATTGCGTAGGGTCCCTTGTGAACAGCGATGCTGGAAATATGCTCGAGGACACTATTCTCATTTCTAAGGCCCCGAATCGTAGCCCCTTTTTTTGACTCCTTCTTATGTAGAGGGCCCCTGAAAGGAACCCTGCTCTGGGTATACGGGGCCCCTACATCATGAAACACTTACAAAACCCTTACTTATAGTAACCCTTATCGGCCCCTTTACAGGGAACCCTGTAATAAATACACGGGGGGAGAGTTCCCTAAATCAGGGTCCCTGTTAAACAGTCGTTTTTATAACGGCTGCCTTTCTGCATTGGGGACCCCAAAAAGGGACCCTAAACCCTAAACCCTATACCCCTAAACCCTAAACCCTACACCCCTAAACCCTACCTAACTTAGAGACCTACCCCATGCGGCGCTCGCATCCCCAGTACTGGCTGAGTACCCAAGTCGCGGGATCCTAGTCGGACCCACAGCTGGAGCGGGTTAAGGGGTTTTAGGGGTTTTAGGGGTTTTAGGGTTTAGGGTTTAGGGTTTAGCGGTTTAGGGTTTGGGGTTTAGGGTTCTAGGGTTTAGGGTTTGTAGGGGCCTTCATAATTAGAATAGGGTTTTAGGGGGGAGGAATATGATGCTATAACCATAATAAGGAACCGCCCCCCCCCCAAATAGTACAGGTACTTATTAAGGCCCCTGTACTAGCTATAAGTTCCCTATTAAGGTTTGCAACGAGACACCTACGAACAGTAGGTCATGGTAGGTTAATGAGGTAATTATCGCTGATCAAAACAGTTTACTTAGCAGTCCGATACCCGAAGGGAACCAAAGGTTAACCTTTGGGATTGTTTGGGGTTTAGAGTAGCACAGAAAAGATTAGATGCTACCCACAAGACCGCTAGGTTAGGGTCTGGGGCTCGAGTTTAGGGTTGGGGGTTTTCGGATTTAGGGAGGTGAAAACCCTAAACCCGAAACCCTAGCTGGGTCCTGCACTAAGGTTTGTGGGATCGTTTATGCAGGGGTTCAGGGTTTAGGGCAAGCCGGCCTCCGACCTGGGTAGTTCTCTAAGTTTGGGCACCTTTTCAAGTCCCAAAATGTCCCAAACATGGTACGGCACCCTTATAAGAAGGACCCCAAACGCGACTCAAATTTAGAGAACTACCCGACAGAAGGTTTTGGCAATTTTTCCCACTGGGAACCTTCAGCTCCCTCGTGAACCCTAAGTCAAGCCGCATGAATTCCAACACACACCTGGTGCGCCCGGTAACTCTTCGCGCTGATTAGCCGCTCTTGAATCTTAACGAGGGAGTTTTCGCAAAGGAAAGGGGTAACTCGGGGAAAAGGGGTCTCAGTAACCAAAATGGGGTCTTGGCGGATATTCGAGTAAAATCATCTGAAGGAACCCTCCGGGGGAGGATTTTAGTGAATCAGACCCGTCTGAAACCCTAAACCCTAAAGCCCTCAAACCTGAAACCCTAAAACCCCAAAACCCGAAACCCTAAAGCCTCCATTACACCCTGAAGCCAAGCCGCGTCATGTGCATGGACGACGGGTCGACTGCGTCGAAGCCTCGGTCATACGGAAGGCCTCCGAAAGCTCTGCGAGTCTCCCTTCTTTGAGTGGTTAAGGCTTTTAGGGTTTAGGGGTTTGGGTTTAGGGTGTAGGGTTTAGCATTTAGGGTTTAGGGCTTTTAGGGTTTTAGGGTTTTAGGGTTTCCGGGATTTAGGGTGTTTAGGGTTTAGGGGTGCTACTTGTGGAGTCTACATGAACACCCCTTGTGTGAGGAAGCTCCTCTAGGATTTCCAACCTCTGGGGATTGAAAATCAAGGGGTTTGGGCTTGCCGTGTCGGGCGAAACGCTGGTGTTTCCCTAAGTCTCCAAGTATACAAATAGCACCTACTTTGGGGTCTACAGTCTATAAAGACTACTTGCTTTGGGCTATTTGGAGTCAGGGTTTGTGCAGCTTTGCTAGGCTTCGAACAAAGTCTAGCTGCTACTCGAGAAAGGGTGGCGTTTTGGGCAGCGGAGCATGAACAAACTGGAGAAGTCTCGACGTGTCTGTATGAGTGATGCTGCAGTCTCTGGGTAGTTGCACTGATCTTTCTCAACAGCTCGAAATTAGCGGAGCCCCACACGAAGTGCAACATCACCACAGAGGTGTCTTGAAAGCGAGGTTCCTGCGCTATGAGCGGTCTCCGCAAGTCAAAACCCGGAACCTATATCCCTGAACCCCTCCCGAGTCCCCAACCCTAAACCCTAAACCCCTAAACCCGAAACCCTAAACCCCAAAACCCTAAACCCCAAAACCCTGATCCCTAAACCCTAAACCCTAAGAACCCCTCAGGAAGAAAACGGCACTAATCGGAGATCTGGCAGCCCGTGTCCGAAGGCAGTTCTAGCAACTCGGATGAGGCCACCACGGAGGACGCAACCTTCAACATGGCGTTTTTTTTGGCAGGTCTGAAGGATTAGTAGGGTTTAGGGTTTAGGGGTTTAGGGTTTAGGGTTAATTAGTATACGGAGATTCCCTGACGGAGAAACTTCAGATAGATCATACTTCTAGCCCCAAGATCTGCTCTGATCATGAATACCCGCTTGGCGCGGGTGCAGGGCTTCTGGTTTGGGCTCAGAGTATTTATTCGGGCTGCTGTATTGAAGTGTCAAGGCGAACGTCCAGGCTACAAGATTTGAGATTGCAGTGAGGATTCAAGGTGTACTGAATGTATATTACTGATCAAATTGCGAACATGAAAACCCTCTGCGCCAAAGGTTATGAGAAGAAGGGTTTTGAGAACTACGAATCACGTTTCGCACGGCTTCCTCAAGGGCACTGGCCCTTCTTGGGGCCCGTTTCGTAGGGGCGTTGTAAACACCCTACATTTGTGGGCTTGGGTTTCGGTTCTTTGAGTTCAGGGTTCCGGGGCCTCCTTTCTTTACGCCGAGGCCGAGGGTGCAAGGTATCTTACAAACACCCTACTCTTCCGGCTCTCTTGCATCATCAACTCCAATGTCTATCAAGGAGGTAAAGCCGACCCCTTAGTTCCTGTGTTCAGAAGCCTCAAACATGTATATTTTTAGTTGCGTAACGGATGATATTATCCCCCAAAAGCGTAAAAATATACTCATTCAGCTACTAAGAACCAGCTGCGTCTGAACCTAGAAAGCCAAAGCCTCTTAAAGCAGAAGGGTTTAGGGGACCTAAGAATCTGCCGAAGTCTTCTGACGCCGACTGGCTCTCGATCGTGCCCACGCCGTACACCCTAAACCACCAAGTCCTACACAGTAAAACCCCAAAAGCGAAACACCAAAGCCACTAACGCCCTAGGGCAAAAAAAACCTTACTGTATAGGGGCCTGGATAATGGGAACAAAAGGGTCTTGGGATATACTCGATTTCAATATGAAGTTGGAGCCCGCAGGAACCCTAAACCCTAAACCCTAATAATGATGCGCGTTGGACAGCCTAGACCAGGAAGCCTTAGGGTCACTTGCGAGACTTCGGCGGTATTGGAGTTTAGGGTTTCGGGGCTTTCTGGGTAATGTAGCTCAAGATAGCTCTCCTCGATAATCGGGATGCTAGCATCAGGCCTTTCATAAATCCCCGACCAAAAATATAAACCGCATAGGACTTGTAACACCCTTATGACACAGGAACACCCCTGCAAACCACTGTAAAACCAGGAACCCCTTGTAGGATCTTCTGCGACAGCCGAAGCCCAAAGCCTTGCAAGCGATCGGCCTTCCCAAGGGACGCCAGGCTCTCGTCGTCAAGTGCCACAGCTAGGTAACAGTTGCGATTCGGCATGGCTGGCTTAGGGTTTAGGTCTTTTCCCAGAACCCCTTAGGGTTGAGGGTCGCGGGCTTCGTGGCTTTGAGGCCTTCTTGGGTGAGAGACTCCGAATTTTTTGGATCTAGGCCTACCTGTAACCGAAAAGACTTACTGTTTTAGGGAAGTATATATAGAAACCATAATAAGGAACCCTAAAAAGGTAGGTCTTTCCGGCTACAGGTAAACCCTATATCCTGAGCCTAAAACTGAGAGGCAGGCTGGACTTGGAGCCAAATGCTAGCGGGACGCAACGCAGAAGTCTTGAGGAGAAACGCGGCTACTTAGGATTTAGGGTTGTTCACGCCGCGGCCTGCAGCAGCGGAAGACCTCAAACCTCACCACCATGAAACCTAATGTCCGGAGGATTTAAACCCCGGAAACCCCAAACCCGAAACCACAAAACGGGAGCTGAGGTTTTTTGCTCCACCACGGTTACGACAAAACTCATACCCAAGAGCATGGTCTTACATTTGCAAGCAAGGTTTGGGGTTTAGGGTTCAACCTTCAGGGGCTTTTTTCTATTACCAAGTCCAGAAATCTAAATGAACAAGCAGAAAGTGTGTAGAGTTTCAACCATCCGAACCCTGGCTGCACACCCGGGCGGCCATAATAATTAGACTCGGGTTTCGGGGTATACTCTGGGTGTTATTCTGATAAGGAGCCCTATGGAATCCTATAGTACCCTTAAAGGGGGCCCTATTATAGAACCCTCTAGTACCCTGGGCAGACTGCGTGGCCCTTGGGAACAATGGCTTCAAGCTTGTATCCTAGATGCCCGGTATTGTGTAGGGTTTCGGGTTTAGGGTTTAGGATTAATGGTTTTAGGGTCTAGCACTTGAGGGTATAAGGTTTAGGGCTTTAGGGGTATAGGGCTTTAGGGTTTATGGCTTTAGGGTTTAGGTCCAAGCTCAAGACCTTCGACTCCAAGCCCTAAACGGTAGAATATATACCCATAAACCCTAAAAGCGTCTTGGTTGCTGAGCTCATAAGCACCAAAAAGGTGCACACCTCTAGTTCTATAAGGGATCATATTCTCCCAAAAAGTTTAAAGTGTAGTGATTCAGCTACTAAGGCCTATTCCCCCAAGAAGGCAAGCAGCTCAAGTTGTGAAGATCCCCAGAATAGGTGCTAGACAAGAAGCCATCATCCACCGCAGGAAAAGCAACAAAGTAACTACGACCAGCAACAAAGTAAATACGACCCTTAACCCTGAGACCCTAAGCCCTATACCCTGAAGCCCTAAAGCCTTAAAGCCCTAAAGCCCTAAGAAGCCCCAAACCCTAAAGCCCTTCGACGTCGAGCTCCTCCATGGTCACGGGGCCCATGGACGGCTGCGGAGCTACGGCAGCCATGGCTTGTAAGAGAACCCACAGACTCGAAACTGCCTTGACCCAAGGCTTCGAAGAGGGTTTAAGGAGGGTGTGCCAAAGCCTGAATAGGACATCTTCCTCAATCGATAACTAAACCCAAAGTCTAAATAGGACATCTTCCTCAATTGATAATTATCAGGATCCTTTGAAGAGTCCTGAGTCTCCAAGAATCGGGAGCAGGTGTGTATCGAAGCATCGAAGTATTGCATGATTGAGGACCGCTGCGTTCCCAAGCTCAGAACCCTCTGCGCCCCCTACCCTAAGGACGAAGTGTACCCTGAAACGGCTGAGGTGCAAGTACCGACGGGGGATCCAGAGGAAGAGGGTAGAGGGCCCTGGTTATATGAAGCATCATTTGCCCCTTGAGTTGACACCAACCCCACGCCACTGAGAACTGATGTAGCGGCTTTCGGGCAGCTGTATAGTGTTTAGGACACCCTAAACCCTAAACCCTAAACCAGGGGAAAACCTCGCGCCTAAACCCTGCGAAACCCGGAAGCCCTGAATCAAAGGCCGAGAAAAGGGGTCTGAAGAATTCACAAAAAACATCGCCGGATAAAACGTCCCTGTATCCTCATGGTCTAGTATGCCTCGAAAGCCCCGAAGCTTGGCTACTGCACCAGTCAGTACCATTTGAATACCTTTCCAAATCCAGAAATACGGTTGATGATACAAATCCTGCATTACCTTAAGGACCCCAAACTATGGGAATTATGGCATATTCACTACTATGAGTAATGCAGGATTCATACCATCAACCGTACCATTTCAATACCTTTCAGAATCTAGAAATATGAAACATTGGTAATACCCTTGTTATAGACTGTTACTGCTCGGGGGCAGTACCCAACCTATAGACAGCTAGGGATGTTGTGCAATGCAGTAGTAACATCTTCTATCACTTTAACATATTTATACACGAACTCTTTTATGGGAATACAATAGACACGGTCAAAGGCACCTGCCCCGTGTTTTAAACCAGGCGCGGCTGCCGAAACGCTTCACAGTGTTGGACCCCAGTCGAGAAATCTTGAAGTTTACTTGAGCATCCGTTCGAAAGGATTCTGCTGTTGCTGATATAAATCCTGCATTACCTTAAGGATCGCAAACTATGGGAGTTGTGGTATATTCCCTATTATGGGTAATGCAGGATTTGTACCATCAACCGTACGACTCAGGATATTCTTGGACCCGGCCCCATTGCGATCTGAAGCTCTGAAGCTAAATCTGGGTTCTTGTTAGGAAATTTGATTAATTTGGGTTACCACAATAAACAAGCAATATTATTTACTTTAGATCCCCATGACTATGGTAACTTAAATAAAACCCCCTAACAAGAACCCAGAAATCCAGAAACCCTAAACCCTAAACTCCTCAAGCCTAAACCCTAAACCCTCGTCTTCGGAAGCGCTTAAACCTAAGCCGGAGACCCCCAGATCCAGCCTGATGTAAGTGCTCTTGCCGCCCATGTTCGGCCCCGTAATGAGATGCAACCGGGACCTGCGGTGAAACGATCGAGGCTTCGCTGTCCCAAGCCTAAACCCAAAACCCAAAACCCTTAAACCCTAAACACCTATAAACCTGTAAACCCTAAACCCTAAACACCTATAAACCTATAAACCCTAAACCCTAACAACCTATAAACCAAGGGATTAGGGTGACCTCGCCTCTGAATCGTCGACATGTTGATGTAGGACCCGTAATGGCCAGAACAGGGTTTTGAGGCATCGCTCAACATATATATATATATGTATGTATATATATATATATTTGTATTTATATTTATACTTCTATTTATATTTATATATATAGAGAGAAAGAGAGAGACCAAGGAGTGCTGAGGAAGAAATTTGGAGACTAGTCTGGCTTCTATATCTTGCTCCCGCAAGACGCCACAAGAGTTGACAGAAGGTTTAGCTCTATGGTATCTACTAAACTAATACAGCATGTTAAGTTTTTAAAACCTTTCGAAGATAAACATAGGTGATCTGTAGTTTCGGTGTCGGAGAAACAAGACCTTTCTCTTCTGTAGAAGAAGGCTCGGAGCCCCGACGTATCCTTGTGCATGTCCAAGTCGTTCGCGACGTAGCTCTGCCTGGCTAACAAAAACGTCGGAGCCGAAAAGGAGTTGGTAAACTCTAAACCCTAAACCACAAAAAACCCTAAACCCTAAAACCCTAGAAAGGGGCTTAGCGTAAACTGGGGGCCTTCATACTACTTTGAGTAAGGCTTTTTCGGGTATAGGGTTGATGGTATATACATCCTGCATTACCCATAATAAGGAATATACCATAATTCCCATAGTGTAGGGTCCTTAAGGTAATGCAGGATATATATATATATATACACATATATTTATACATCATCAACAGTATCACAACCAAAAAACGAAACCCTAAGCACTACCAATGCAGGCCCCTATATGAAACTATGGCAGTGCAGCTTCGAGTTCTGCAGGGGGCTGAGGTCATGAAGTCTCCAAAGGGGTTGCTTGGGCTGAGTGGGTAATGGGTTTAGGTTCAAGACCAGCCGAAAAAGAAACCAAAATATTCGAACAGGCGCCGAGCAAAATGCATTTGCACGGAATGTTTGCATGAGCTTGTAGTGTTTTCGGCACCTGCGAAAGTTTCTCGCCCATGCAAAACGTGTATTTCGCTCGAGTTTTGGCCACTCCGCCGTGTTGGACTAACAAGAACATGTCTCCAAATGCACGGCCCCGTACGGGCGGCGTCACCATGTTTATGTATGTACATGTGTGTGTGTGTGTATGTAGGGTAGGTATGTATGTGTTATAGTATGTATATGTAGATGAGTAGGTACAGGTATAGGTATAAGGGTATAGGTAGAGGTAAAGGTGTCTGTATTCGTATATGTATGTGCATATGTATCTATGCCTCTGTGTGTGCATGTATATATATATATAGATATACGCGTGTATCTCTATATAAAACATCCAAGGCGTCTTACAAGGCAGCCGAAGGTGCTGGGAGTTTGCAACCACCAGCACATGCACGGCGCCATCAATGACGTAGTCTTTACCTCAGCTTTCAGGGCTCCTGCCGAGGCCCCGAGAGGACACAACCTCTACTTAAGGAGTGAACCTTAAACTTCAAGGGACTCATATTAGCTTGCTTAAGTCATATTCCTTTATTTCAATCTATTGAGCTCTTTGGGTCATGGTTTTGGGTTTAGGGCTTCGTGCTTAGGGTTTAGAAGACTCGTGAAAGTGTTTCTTTTGGGTGGCGGTCAGATGTCATTGTAGCTGCAAGGTATGCGCAGACAGCAATGGCCCCTAAAAGCCAAACCCTAAAGCCCAAGTACTAAACTGGACGTCTTTCGTTGGGTTTCTACAGGGTTTCTATGGTTTTTAAAAGAAGAACATGCCTGGCAGGAGGTCTATAGTCGTGTAGGGTTCAGACTACAGGTTTGGGACTTAGGGGATGTTGGGTTTCGGATTTAGGGCTTGGAAGGTTATGGCACCGCCCCAAGCCCTAAACCCTAAACCGCACCGTCTGGGTTTCTTGCCAGCAGGAATTCTTGCTGGCCGAGTTGTGCCTTCAACGGTCCTCAACTTTGGAGATACCAAGACATGACCGGAAAGAAACG